ACTACCCAACCCACCTGATGGCAGCAAACTGAATGTTTGCACAGGAGGAAAGGGAATTAGGTATGAGTGGCCAAATTAGACAGGACCTAATGATTAGGCTTCTCTATTCTGTAAATTTCCCTGAAGTTCAAGATAAACAGCAAAAGAGATTGTAGATGTTCAACATCTTTTTGCTCTAAGTCTTTTACAGAAATGAGAGACTGAGATAAGCTTTATTCCACCTTGTAAGGTTGGTTTCAACATCCTAGATAGAATGTTTGTTCTATTTAGAAGAAATAACTCCAGGCACAGAGATTCAGGTATCTTTCTCAGTGACTCACTCTAGTTTATTCCATGGTCTAGAAATTCTTGTATCTGACTCAATTTCTTTCTATATCACTTTATTTTTCTTAACCTTTTTTTTTTTGATTATAACATACATATAATAAAATCCATAAGCTCAAGTGTGCAACTCAATACATTTTTACAAATATATGTAACATAGAACCGTCACCCAGCATCCTAGAAGCCTCCCTACTGCACCCTCCCCATCAATACCCAACTCTGAAGGGTAAGTGTCATCCTGACTTCCATCAACATAGATTACTAGTGCCTGTCTTTGAACTTTATATAAATAATAACATACACTACAGTTTTGTGCGTGGCTTCTTTTATGCAACATTGTATCCTTAAAATCGACTACATTGTGAAGTGTAGTAGTAGTTTCATTTTCATGGTTATATTTCTTTGTATGAATTAGCATATGTGGTATCTATTTTACTGTTGATGGATATTTAGATTGTTTTCATTTGGGGCTGTTACAAATGAAGTCACTATGACATTGGTTATCATGCTTTAGGTGAATATTGTCCTCGTTTCTGTTGGTTACGTATCTGGGAGTGGAATTGCTCATAGATATGAGATATTCAGCTTCAGCAGATAGTACCAGAGTTTTCCCAAATGACTGGAAAAATTTATACTCCTGCTAGTAGCACCTGAATGTTATAGTCTCTGCACATTCTCACCAACACTTGGCATTATCAGTTTAAAATTTCTAGCCATTCCATTGGGTGAAGGTATCCTTATTATTTTGTTTTACATTTCTTTGATGGCTGATGATGTTAGGTGACATTTTGGGGGTATTTATTGACACATCTTTTGTAGGTGCCTATTCAATCGTTGCCCAGTTTTTATATTAGTTGTCTGCTTTTTTCTTATTGATTTATAGGAGTTATTTTGGGCAAGTCCTTTATCAGATACATGTATTGCTTATATCATCTTCTTTGTAGCTTATGTTTTAAGTTTTTGGTGGTGACTTTTAATGAAGAATTTTTTTTTCATTTTGATGAAGTCAAATTTATCTTTACTTTTATGTACTATTTAAGAAATCTTTATCTACCACAAAGTCTTAAAGATATTCTCCTGTTTTATTCTAGAGGCTTTATTGTTTTACCTTTCACATTTATGTGTACAATCCAGAATAGAATTTTTATGTGGTATTGGGGGAGTGGATAAAGGTCACACATACCCTTCCCTCTTGCCACCCCACCCCAATCACCATATATTGAAAGGACCATTCTTTCCCACTGTGTTGTGTGGGCACCTTGTTTAAATCAGATGAAGTCGTAGGTTAGTGTCTGTTTCTGGATGATCCATTCTGTTATTATTCTTTTTTTTTAAAGATTTATTTATTTATTTATTTTAGAAAGAGAGATCATGCAAGTGAGAGCATGCTGTGGCAGGGGGAGGGGCAGAGGGAAAGGGAAGGAGAATCCAAGCAGACTGGGCACAGAGCTCGGGGCCGGATATGGGCTCTATTTCATAACCCTGAGATTGGGATCTGAGACAAAATCAGGAGATGGACACTTAACCAACTGCGCCACCCAGGTGCCGCCATTCTGTTTCTATTCTAAAGTTTCTGGACTATTCAGTCACTTTTAATTACTGTGACTGTGTAATAAGTGTTGATATTCTGTCCTCTTTGTTTTTCAAAGTTGTCTTAGTTATTCTTGGCCTTTTTGCCTTTCTCTTACAAATTTTAGAATTAGGTTGTCATGGGGCGCCTGGGTGGCTCAGTGGGTTAAAGCCTCTGCCTTCAGCTCAGGTCATGATCCCAGGGTCCTGGGATCAAGCCCCGCATCAGACACTCTGCTCAGCAGGGAGCCTGCTTCCTCCTCTCTCTCTCTGCCTGCCTCTCTGCCTACTTGTAATCTCTGTCTGTCAAATAAAATAAATCAAATCTTTAAAAAAAAAAAAGTTGTCAATTTCTAAACACACATCCCAAGCTTCCTGCGATTTTATTTGAGATTATTTAAAATCTATAGAGCAGTTCTGGGGAGGATTAGCATCTTTTCCAATCACTGTTGGCTGGTTTCTTTATATTCTACTTTCAGTGGATGGAAAGGCATGTTTTGTCCCATTTGGGACTAAAATGAAGTCTAGGGCAGTAGCATGAGGCAGGCTTTCCCACCATTGTTCTGAGTTCCAAATTAGAGTTGGGTTTTATATCTTCCAAATGCTTCTGTGGGTCATTTCTGTATCATTTTTTGCTCTGCTTTGGGCCCTGGGACAGTGACCTCTCTGGAAAAGTGCTCTCTTGTCTCCGGCTTCAAGTTAGGTTCTGCCAGTGGAAAGGAACATGGATCAGAGGAGGGGATCAGGAGAGAAGAAAGTGAGGTCAGGGTATAGTTTCTTGGCTCTTTCCTTGCAGGGTCACTTGGGGTTGGCTGTGTCCCCAGACTAAAGGCTGTTACAGATGTCACCGGGCAGCCACCTTCTCATAGGTCCCTGTCTCTGTGCACCCTTCAGCCTACACATGGTGATGGCCCCCAACACCGATCCCATATCTTTGGTAAACTCTTCCCAAATTACGCAGTTTGAATGGGCCATCTATTTTCTGCCAGGACCTTGATCACTATGAAAGTGGAAGAAAAACTTTCTGTGTTGGAAGTGGAAGAAAAATTTTCTGAACAGCTTAAAAGAACTTTGAGGGGCACCTGGGTGGCTCAGTGGGTTAAAGCCTCTGCCTCTCTGCTCACTTCATGATCTCAGGGTGCTGGGATCGAGCCCTGCATCGGGCTCTCTGCTAACCAGGGAGCCTGCTTCCCTTCCTCTCTCTCTGCCTGCCTCTCTGCCTACTTGTGATCTCTGTCTGTAGATAAATAAATAAAATCTTAAAAAAAACAAACAAACAAAGAACTTTGAGAATGAGGATCCGTTATACCAGTGATAACCTTGCTGCGTCTTCTCCTAACACTCTACTTCTGGCTCACCCTGCCTGAATATAGCATGAGGGCTCTATCCTTCTCTTTGTGGTATTCTTGTAAGTCATCAAGAGACTCCTTATGGTGTAAAAACTAAGACCAGTAGCCTCCCCATGGAGCCCTAAGTGCCCACAAGCATTTTAGCCATAGATGAGTCGTCACTTCCTGACTCACTCAGGTGATGATGCAGGCTGAACTGTTTGTGCTTGTTCTGCGGAGCAGACACACCTCCGCCCATGGATGTTAGAAGACGAGGTGAGAATGGCAAGCTGGCATGGACTGCGAGTAGGAAGAAAATTGCTGCTGTTTGAAAAATTAGACTTGGAGCCCTTCTGGGGACAGAAGCCTCAAGCTACAGTGAACGATGGAGAATTTGACTAATTCTTAAGTGGAGTCTCACATTGACTTCATTTCACTCCTCTTTTGACAGTTGGGTTATTTAGTTGTCTGCTTTAGGAATTAATTTTTGGAATGACATCTGTAGCCCTGGTGGGGGCTGGTGAAATTTCTCTCCCTGAAATAGAAATCATGTCCAAAATGTCGTTTCATGACAACAGTAATTAACCTGAATCACGTATCAGATAATGCTGGCAAATATGACAGTACAAGAACTTGTGGGAGTTTAAATTGGAAAAGGGAAGAGCAAATAAATCAAGATATCACATTTTTTAATGAAGTTTTCACCTTCTTAAGAAGTAAATAATAAGTGGAATTCTGTCGTGGTCAGTTTCCTTTGTAATCGGTAAGTCTGCTTGTGTGTTCATTTGTGTAGGTCAGCTAGAGCTGCCACTGCCTTCACTCTCATCACTTGCTTCCTTGAGTAACTTGTGGATCCACACAGACATCCACTGTGGCTTCATCTCCCTCCCCCAGCCATATGCCCTAGAAAGTCGCTCCCATCTCTTATACTGGAAATGACAAAATGGTGGCCCTCAGACATGTTTGTTTGCCCGATACCTGTTATTTTGGGGACATTGTTTGAAACTGAGAGATACAAATAAAAATATTCAAATGCTGACTTTCCTTGAAACATGGGATGAACTGAGAGTAGTGGGCCCTCTGCTCCTACATGGTGACAGCGGCCTGTGATGAGGGGGTCATGTGCTCAGAGAGGAGCCGTGGTTTCACCTGGCTGGGCCTGAAGCCATTAAGTGACCCACCTGTCCTGGAAAACATGTGTTGACATGTTCAGTGCATTTGGGATGATTCTAGGTACCAAATGTGAGAACAGAAACAACTGATTGCATTACTTCAGCCTGTGGTTTATTGGTATGAAAACCTGTAATCTCTGCAAGGCCGTAGACATTTGTCTCAATTGTCTTGGTATATCCCCAGTGTTTCATAAATGTTAAGATAGAAAGGAAACTTACTTAGGAAGACGAACCTGGCAGGGCCATGCAGGATGCTTCGAGGAGGATGCTGAATGCTTGAGAAAGACTGACTGAGTCAGGGCTGAGAACATAGACTAAGATGGTGGCAGCAGGAACCAAGAAAGAGGTGGCCCTGGGAGACAATTCGAGGGAAAAGCCTTGGGATTTAGGCTGGTAGGAGGGAAATGGGAAAAGGGGATTGTGAGCTTGGAGTCTTCATGGGCAGTCGTGCCAGTAACAGAATGAGGAGGCGGTAGATCCCAGGGTCCCCTCTGCTCCCCCCAGTTCCAGTCTTTGGATGCAAAAGTATTTGAGTCTTAATTGTATTCATGATTTAGCTAATCTAATAGCTACTCTCAGAATCTTTCCCTTCTGTCTTTGACCCCAGGGCTAAGACCATCAAGAATACAGTCTCTGTGAACCTGGAATTGACAGCAGAAGAGTGGAAGAAGAAATACGAAAAGGAGAAGGAGAAAAACAAGACTCTGAAGAATGTCATCCAGCATCTGGAGATGGAGCTGAACAGATGGAGAAACGGTAAGGAAGAATGGAGAGGAAGAATGAGGCATGAACATGTGGTTTCCTTCTCCTGGGACAGCTGGTATCCTGGGACACTTTGGGAAGGACCGGATGATGGCGGAGCTTGGCCCTGCCTTGGAACAATCTGTGTGAATGAGTGATGTTTTCTCATTGTGTAGAGAAGCTGCCCACCCGACCCCGTCACTTGGCTGACAGGCGTGCTTAGTGTGGGCAAGTGCTATTTGCAAGGTTGCCTTAATCTATTTCCAGTGAGCCGCTCCTCTATGTTAGTGTAATCCTCTCTGGTAGCCATGTTTGAGGTTTCGAGTGCAGCGGCTGAGACTTTGAGACTCAGACTACTTTTGATTAAATGAAAAATGTCATTCACTCCTGTGCGAGTTTTGTAATTGATTTGGGGTTAGAAGTCACCTCTGGCAAATATTTGCATTTTCAGGGGACCAGCTGATCTCTGTGTTCTGCTTCTTCAGAGCCAGAAATAGAAGGCTCCTGATGAAGTTCTGTGCTAAAATGGAGTCTTACAGGCTTATTTCGTGACTAGTTTTTTTCTTTTTTTCTCCCCAAAAAACATTCTCTTTGGTTTGTTCTACTCAAAGAAAATATCTCAGAGAGCTGACACACACTGGGTGGGTGGGTTGTGGGTGAGGTGTTGAAGAGGGGTTTCCAGATCCAAGTGCAGACAGATTATTTCGGGAATTTTAGCATTGTGATGGAATTAGAAGGTAGAAATCTCTCTGGTTTGTTGTTGTTGTTGTTGTTTTAACTGAAATAGGCAGGTTGGTGTGTGAGTAGGGGCAGAGTGGATAGCTGGAGATCCATATTCTTCACTGTGTCCACTGTCACTACGAGTTCCAGGCATTGATGTAGACCTCAGTCTCTTGGGTGAGTGTAGGAGCCTGGGGGCTGCTAGGCAGGATGGGGGTAGAACCCACCTATGTGTAACCACAGAGTTAGCGGTGGATGGTCTTGTGATTCTGTGTTTGCCGCTGTTTTTTAGCTAGGAAAGGTGGGGTGCCAGTGACCTACTATTCAATGGAAAAACAATTGAGAAGCAAAGCAGGATTCAAGAGAGGCTCAAGAAATGACCTAGTAGCCTAAATAACACAATTCTTTTCTTTTTGGGAGATTTTCTAGCTGCACATGTTTTGAAAGCTGCTAGAATAATTGAATAATTCAGCACCTGGGGCCGGTGGATGATTCCTTGCGATTTGGCAGGAGTTAGGAGAATGGGGAGGGATGGTTGGCAAGGCGGGGAGCGGCTGTATGAAATTTTGTTCTATTTCTGGGATCCTCTTGGGTCAGTTCTCTGCTGGGCAATTGGAACATTCAGTAAAGCCTTTTGGTACAGGGAGGGGGACTGGCCTTAGAACATTGCGCAGTGGGCAACCAGCCTTGTTGTTTTCTCTTCTGTCCTGTCCCTTGCCAAGCTTTCCCCCTACGATCCTCCATGCGATTTCCCCCTGCGATCCTCCAACTTTGTCCTCTAGGGTCGGCCCGCTGTCCTGTTTGCCTAACACCCTCCTGCCTGGCACTCTCCCCTTTTGGACTTTTAATTTGGTATCATTTTAATTGTTTGCCCTACTTTGTCCACTGTGCTGATCTACTCAGAAAAACACTGTTTTCCATGTCCCACAGTGTGAGATCCTACATGAGCCCTTATGTACATAATTCGGGAAAACTCACATATGGTTTCTGGCACACGACAGACTTCCATAGATGTACTTTACGTAAACACATGTTTAATCCATTGAGGGAATGGAAGGGGTGAGCAGTCGATCATGGTCTCTGCCCTTACAGAGCTTATAGTCCAATGAGGGAGACAGACTCCACAATCAATAAATGTGTCTGTGCTGCATACCAAAAAGGGAAAGTAGAAGGTACTGAAAGTTATTATAACTTTTAGTTATACTGAGAAGTCAGTGAAGGCTTCCCCTGATAAGCAACCTAGGGAATAAGATCTGAGAGAAAGAGAGCAGTTAGGAGCAGCAAGGAGAAGTGGGGGTGGGGTGGAGGGAGCCACATTTACAACAACCCGGAGGGGCAACCTTTGGTGGCGGGCAGCAGCAGGAAGGTCAGTGTAGTGAGCTGGGGAGGGGCAGTACAGGCCTGAGATGAGGGGAGAGGGTAGGCAGACCTGTCCTGTGCAGGGCTAAACAGTTTTTGTTCAGGATTTTGGTTTTTATCTAGCAATGAGAATCTAACAATGAGAAGCCCTTCAAGGATATTCAACTGAGATCATATGATAAGATTTGCATTTTTGAAGATCGATTGGTTGTGTTGGAGATGGACTGGAGAGGGTAGGAGGCGTGCCAGGAACAAGGATGGTCTTCCAGGGATGAGGTTACAGTAGTTGAATTGAGAGGGCAATGGAAAGGGAGAGACATGGCTGGACCAGAGAGGTGTTGAGGAGATAAAACCAGCAGGGCTTGGTGAGGAGCTGGCTGCAGAGAGATAGAGTGCCAAGTTTTCCAGCCTGCCGTGTTGGATGGAGGGTAGAACAGGTTACTGAAAAAAGAAATACCAGAGAAGAACCAGACTGGAGACAGGGGAGATGAGGAGGGGAGTTCGAGGTGGAACATCCAGGAGAGAATGTCAAATAAGCAGTTAGGTCCAAGGGTCTAGAGCTCAGAGGGCCCAGGTTGAGCTAGGGAAAGAAATGGTAGTAGAGCTTTAGGAAGTACAGGAAGGCATAGGTAGGGGTGAGGGTTTCTAGAGAGAGGGCAGGAAAGAGAAGAGGGAGAGAGTCTTGAGACCCACCTCTACCATTACTGTGTAATCACTGAATGACTGTAATAGAGAAGGGGATCTGCAGAGCTCTCCTGTCCTCCTAAGCTAACATTCATTCATTCATTCATTCATTTAATTTATTTATTTTGATTTGATTTGATTTGATTTGATAGGAAGACACAGCGAGAGAGGGAACACAAGCAGAGGGAGAGGAGAGGGAGAAGCAGGCTTTCCGCTGAGCAGGGAGCCCCATGCGGGGCTTGATCCCAGAACCTTGGGACCATGACCTGAGCTGAAGGCAGATGCCTAATGACTGAGCCACCCAGGCACCCCACATTTATGTTTCAAGGTAATTTTTTGGAGAACACCTGGATAACTCAGTCGGTTAAGTGTCTTGCCGGTAGTGGCTTGGTGACAGAGCAGGGATCTGAACGTAGGGCAGCTGACTGTGAGATTCATTGTCTCTCCATTGTCTTGCAGTGTGTGCACAGCCCAAGTGGTTTGTGTTTAGGCCAGTTAGAGGAGCGTGAAAAATGCCACACCAGGAAGGAAGGGACCAGAAGCTCCTCAATAGTGTCCCATGCACCAGGCCTAATTCCTCGTCATCATGAGAGCATGGGTGGTTTGTTTCCACTGGAGAGCTGAGACTTTGAGAGATAAAGTCAAGAAGAGGAGGTCCCCTCCAGTAAAACCCAAGTGGCAGGATATTTCCAGCTTTCTTTTGAAATTTGACACACACATTGGCTCTAAACCTGTAGGAGTTAGCCACTGAGTTCACCTCAGCGAATCCTGGGTATTGATGTTGCCATCCTGTGGGCTGAACCACTGAAGGCTGCACTGTCCACTGTCTGCATTCTCTGCTGTGGAAGAGGGGTCTTTCCTTGTATGGTGTGTTTATAATTTTAGAAGTTTGACTGCTCTTCTCCAGCCGTGGGAGAGCAAGAGAGAAGGAGCAGAGCTGAGAAAAAGTGTGCGTGTGTACATATGCTTGTGCTTTCCCATTTTTGCTGTTTTGTAGACTGAGGCAGGAAAGCCAGGGAGTCAGAAACGTAAAAGAACACAATGTCGCAGTGACAGATTGGGTCCAGGCAGGTCATGTAAAGTGAAGTTGATATAGTTGGTGGCAATGGGACTGTGCGGCAGGACAGGGCCCTCCCTGCCCAAAGTCATTCAGACGTTATGAAATACTACCCTATTCCATGCCTAGAGGCTGGTTCTCTCCCAGACCCCCACCCCCTCCCCACTGCTACCAATTTTCAACTCCTTGTAGCTTCATGGGCTACTTCAAAATGCAAGCCCTGCAGTTTTCTCCTCTGGGCATAGTAGAACATTGATTCTCAGGATACGGCCGGTGACTAGTAATGTACATAATTACATCCAGCCGTAATTCATGTCTGCCGTTGGCATTAAGGCAAGGCTCAGGGCATATGCGTGCTGGCTTAAGGGGGGCTCATGCCTTGTTTTTATAAAGAAGGAATAAGGAGAGCCACTCCATTCCCCACAGGGCCAGGCTCCTTGGGTAGCACAGGACAGGAATTGACCCTGCTTAGCTTAAACAAAACAGCAAAGCATGAGAAGTCTGTGAATGACTCACAGAACCGAGGAACAGCCGAGCAGCCAGCCTCATCTGGCAAAGCTGGGGCTGCTCCAGAGACTGGGTTCCTGGGGGCTGCACCTGGTGTGAGTACCCTCTTGAGTTTTCTCCCCCTTCCTCGAATTATCTGTTTGGGACGCAGAGGTTCCGGAGAGAGGGGAGAGACCGAGCGTGGTGGTGTGCTCCGGCTGAGGAAGCCCAGGGCCCTCTGCCGTGTCCTCTGACCAAGCCTGTGTGCACCGGGAGAGATCATTCCTCACTAGGAAGTTGTGGTGCTGAAATGAGAATGGGTGTTGCGTGACTGGAAAACACCTGTCCAGTCCAATCTGCTAGTGACCTCTTGTGGGCTGAAATCGATTGACAGTTCCTGGAATCTGGAAGCTCTGTGGGCCACTGCAGCCTCAGGGATTTTACTCAGCCTGCTTGCTTAAGGACAGATCGAGGGAGTGGGCAGTTGTCGGAAGCAGGGTGGTTTTTTCTCTCTAGCTGTGTGCCTTGTTCGTCATGTACGTGGAAAGGACTTGAACAGTCCTGTGAATGGGGATAGATTTAGATGGTCGCACTCAGAGTGAATTACGGCTCCCAGTTCACCCTGCCCGGTCCCCCCGAGTCTGTCCAGAAGACCCTTGATGGGCAAGTTGGGGAGGGAGGGCTGAGGGCCCAGGCCTGTGACCCTCAG